AAATACATTACGCTGTTTCTTTTGGCAATGAATGTTCTGTCAAAGTCAGTGAGATTTAGGAAATTTTTCTTTTGAGCCAGCGTTGTGGCTTCACTCTGTAATTCCTAAGCTGCTCAGGAGACAGAGAGAGAAGTCTGTTTAACCAGCTCGGGAATGGTTGTAAGACCCTATCTTGAAAACCCATCACAGAGGCTGGCAGAGTAGCTCAGTGGTAGAGCACGCTGACTAGCTTTTAGCACGAAGACCTGACGTTCAAATTCCAGGTATCACAATTTTTTTCTTCGAATAGTCATGTTTTCCCATTTCTTAAGTAATATTGTTGAATGTATATTGTGTTGTGTGTGTATTGTGTTGGGATTGAAACCCAAGACCTTTTGCTGCTAGAGCTGTATTAGGCACTGCCAAGGCTGTTGGAAACCTGTATCCTCCTGCCTCGCCTTCCAGATGGCTGGGATTATAGGGTGTGCAACATCACAATTGACCTAGGATGAACTTGGATGTATTGCATCTTAGTGAATTCTGAGTAAATTGCTCTTAGACACTTCTTTCTTTCTTTTTTCTTTTTTTTTTTTTATTCTTAAGAAAATATTCTTTAGTAAACATTTTAAGAATTTTTTATTGCCTTTGATTTCTTCAAGGACTCCTGTTATCTACATGCTGAGATTTTTCTATTGTTTATCTCAAAAATATACCAATTTTCTCTTACATCGTTCTAAATTTATTTTTGATTAAAAGTTAAATAATTCTCTTTCACTTTCTTTCTCATAAGATTCTCCTTATCTGTTTCCTTAGCTTGCTCTCTATTTTTGAATGATTTTGCTTTTTCACTTCATAATATATCCTGTGTTTGTCACCTCATTTTTCAGGAGTTTTCTAATTCTAGTTCCAGAAATGGCCTTTTCCTACCAAACTCCTTCCTTCATTCAGCAGGATAGCATTAAGCACAGACTTCTGGTATTTGAGGCAGGTCTTTTCCATCGCACTCTGTCCTTGTTGACAGTTGCCAACTTTTTGGTGAGCCTAAATATATGCATTTAAAAAAAATCAGACTTTATGGTAGATATCTAAGAATGAAATATGTATCCTTTAAACATTTTTAGATAATTATTTGTCCTTTCATTCCAAAGTAAAGCTTGTTTAATTCAATCTCTATTTCCCTAACCCCACTAACTCTCAGATCCCAAATTCGTTTTCCATTCTGTCAAAATTTTACCAGAGATATAAAAATTATATAGATTCAAGTTGAATGCATCCTAGAGCATATTTGTGCCCTTTCTTAATTTTTTCCTAATGTCACTATTGTTTCCCAATAATAATGTAAAATCCCCACTTTTTAAAAGTGACTATAAGCCATTTGTTTGTATTCAGTTATTTATCATCCATGGTACATTTCCAAGAATCTTAAGAAGCATATTTTTAGAAGTAAGTGTTGTTTCATGATGGATAAGAAAAGATGCAGACTTAACAGAAGAGTGTCAAGAGGTTACTAGAGGACAAAATCTGGCTTCAAGTTCTGTAGGCAAGAACTCAGGACTTTTGAAATATGCGCCATTGTTTTGCAGTTACCATACCGACTTCTCCTGACCTCATCCTTTTTTTTTTGTCATAGAACTATGGGAGTTAGGATGCCGCTTTTTTACTTTGCTTTGCTTGAGTATAAAGGCCAACCTAGAGGTATTTCCAAAACATATTGATAAAGAGGAGTTTAGTTCATTGAAACATTTGTTTGAATAGTTATCCAGCATACTACTGGCTATTTTATACTGGATGGGGGAAAGAATAGTCACTAAATACTTGATGTAAGCATTTTTCTGGACAATTCGCATTTTGGGTGAGCCATTATCCTTAAATTAGAGTACTCGAGAAAGTCTAGTTAATCAGTGGTCCAGGTCATCGGGCTCCTGGTAATCAGAAGTTTACTCTGTAATCAGAATGTATTTTGGATTTCTCATTTGTATTATCTCTTCAAGTCTTTGTGTGGGTATTCTGATTGCTTGATTACGTCTGCCCGGCATAGTGGTTTTTAAAGCCGCATTTATATTAAAATTCTTCCAACTTCGCAGGCAAAATGAGAATATAGAAAGACAATTGATAGTTGAAGCATGATTGTTTCCTCTTGCCTTTACATAGTGTTTAGTGAGGTGCAGATTTGGGATATAGGATAATGGATATGATTATTACAATTATTGCTCTAGTCTGGAGTTTTTTTTTTTATCCTACTAGAGATATAGATTGTATGGTGGTTAGACCCGTCACTATTCTCATCTCATATAGAGTAGCTATACTTTTCATGTGTTTTATATTTTTATGATTTCAAGTTTTTTTTTTAAATGAAAATAAGGTTCTGTTGAAACTAGATACAAACATTAGATGGAGTGGTATTTTATGAGCATCTGTTAGGCCAAAGAGGTTTCTTACTTAGGATTCTGTTATTTGTAACACTGATGACTGTTGGTATTTGGAGTCCTAAAAATAGATGTATATATATGAGCTCTGTGGACCTAGCTGTCACAGTGCTCCATTGTTCCCTTTTTATCAGAACTTCTGCATAGTGTACAAAATCTAATGATGATAGCACTCAGTTTGGTGCTTTATCATATTATTGATAGGGGTTCAGGGCACGATACCCCCAAACATAGTACTTTGTCATATTGGATATTATAAGCTGAAGGAATTTGAGAAAACAGCAGAAACAAAAAGGTCTCTCTTACCTTCTCCCACCATTCTTCTTTGAAGCAGGTCATAAAACGGAAGGATTTTTTCACCTTTTCTGAGCTTTTCATAAGGGTCATAAGAACCTTACATGAGAAGTGCCCTTCCTGTATCTGGAAGAAAGGAGCATCTTTATCTCCAAAGACCCAAGGACACAGAGAAATCCAAACAAATGGGCTTTATTTTCTCCAGTTAAGTTTACTATTGCTACCTCATATTCTTGCCCTGCTATTTTTTCTATAATGAAGCACACTTCATCAAATCTGTGTAAAACCCACTGAGGGTGTATCTCAGAGGTAGTGTGCTTGCCTAGAATGTGCAAGACCCTGTGTTCAACCCCCAGCATCTGAAAACCACAAGTAAATATTCAAGCTTAAGTGTTTCTTTAAGTTTTCATTTCTTTATTAAGGCTTGTATGTCATATATAAATTACATTAAATAACTCTATATGGGTTTCTTTTGTTAACGTGTCTTTTGTAATAGGTGTCCCAACCATAACTTTAGGACAGATAGAAGGAAAAGGTATTTTTCTTCCTTTACATCATTTTATTTAGTTCTCAATCAGACTTCCAAGGTAACTGTTATTCCCATGGTCATTCAAAGAAATGGATTCAAAATCCAGTTTTCCTTTCTTCTGTCTTTCTTTGGGCAGGAGAGAAAGTGTACATCTTAAGTTTAAAGGCGTTGGCTTTTCTACACATTTTTTCCGAATAATTTTGATCACAATTTTTTTTTCCTTTGTGTGACAGGGTAGTCTTGTATCCGAGGCTGGTCTTGTATCCCAGGCTGGTCTTGAACTTGCTATCTCCCTGCTTCAGCTTCTCTAGGGATATAATTACAAGTATCAGCACTACACCCTGCTTCAGTTACAGTTTTTAGTTCACTCCTATATTTGATGCCTTTAACAGTCATATCTCAGCCTGAACTTGTCTTATAATCTCCATACCTCCATGTGTTCTTCCTGAAATGGGTACTTGACTCTCCCATGGGTGTCTCAACTTGGTGTATGCTGTTGAAGTCATCATCTCATCTCCCAAATATTTATCTCTTTACATTTTCCTTTTGGTAATTCCTTGTTCTACTTCTCCTTCCTGCTCTGGGTGAATTTGTTTAATCTTCTTAGGCCATTATGGCCTGGAGGGCAGTCCAAGCAACATACTGCTGCAGAGACTCTGGTTGTGAGGAGAAAGAAACTTCTTTCCTAAGCCAGAATTCTTTACAAGTAGCAGTGGTAACAGGTAAATAGGTAATGTAAGTGGTATGCAACTATGTGATGTATTGCTTATATCATCCATGACTAAAGGTCCTGAGAGAATCAAGTCAGACACTTTCCTCTGATGATGCCCAGCATAAACATCTACCTTTTCCTTTTTTTTGGGGGGGGGGTACTGAGGTTTGAATATAGGATCTCATGCTTGCTAGGCAGGTGCTCTACCACTTGAGCCACAGAGACACTCTGCCAGTCCTGTTTTGTGTTGGGCATTTTTGAGATAGGGTCTCAAGAACTATTTGCCCAGGCTAGCTTTGAACCAGGATCCTCCTGATCTCTGCCTCCTGAGTAGCTAGGATTACAGGAGTGAGCCACCAGCACCCGGCATGTTTTTGACACAGGGTCTTGCTTTGTAGCCCAGGCTGGCCTCAGACTGCAGTTGTCCTGCCTCATCCTTCTGAGTGCTAGAATTACAACTGAGTACCATCCTGTCCTTTCACTGTATTCTTGACACATCTTTTATAATCACAGGATAAAAACATTCTGTAATTTATTTTATTTTTCTAGTTATCTAAGATCTGTTCATGTTCCCTTGAATTTGTCAGTATTCTGCAATTTCATCCATGTTATCTCCCACATTTAGTTCAAAACCTGGCACAGAGTTGACATTCAGTAAATGCAGGTATTTTTATTGCAGTAAGCACTGTACTGAAGGGTATTGAGGATATAGAGATTTACAAAGTAATTTAAAGAAGAACTTACTATTTAGATTGGGTGTCAGGGTATTATATATAATATAAATATGTTGTTGTAGAAATTGCTTTTCCAAAGAATACTGTGAATATCAAGGAGGAGTTCTTCATTTCACTTTCTAGTGTCTTGACTTTGTTTCCTATGTCTATATACACATGTACTGTATGCATTATGGTATTATGTATTTTAATGTTTTGGCTCAATTGCTTTTAAGTAGTTTTGTTATAAAAGATAATAATTATATATATGATTATAGATATGTAATTACCCTTACATGTATGAAAATTTCTTTTTATAAAATCATGACTCTATATCATGCTGTGTAATGTTTTTATTACAAATTTCAACTTGTTTTTCTCCACAGGCAGCAAAAGATATCATTTTCATTGGACCTGACACACGTGCTATTCAAGCCATGGGTGACAAGATTGAAAGCAAATTATTAGCCAAGAAAGCAAAAGTTAACACAATCCCTGGCTTTGATGGGATAGTAAAGGTGAGAAACTATTTCACTCTGTAGTCTTTGTAGTAAATGTCCTTAAGTCAAACATTTTGTGAAGGTATAGAATGAAATGTAATTATTGTGTTTTTGTATATATATGAGGTTAAAAAAAAGTAGTGTTGTTTTACTTAGTTTATTTTTAAGGGCATGAACTAAAAACAGTGAAAAGCCACTTAATCACTGTACTTAATAAATCAGTTTTGAGTTATACTTTCATAGGAAAAAAATTGGTAATTAGAAAAATGTGCAGTCAAAAAATACGCTGCGAGATCTCTGGCTTTCATTTAATGTGTCAAGTATGACATTGTGCTTTGTTTTACCTTGAGCCTCTCTACATGTACACAGCAACAAACTGTGTTCCAGTTTCTGCTGAAAGTGGAATAGCTGTAGGTGACTAGATCCCAGACATTCCCCATGGGCTTCTGCAGTTGAAAGCTGAAAAAAAATGCAGCTGAAAAAAAAATGCAGCAATCGGAGTGTGTGGCCCTCACGCCATGTCCTGGAAAAACTTGTCACTGTTTTTTCCCCCCGTAGCGAAAAGAGAGACTTTTAACCTTGGGGTTTGAGTTAGACTGTAAGAATTCTTTATCTTAGTGTTTCTTTTTTTATTCCTCTGGTGTATTGTGTTGGATAAGTTTTCATTGTGCAGAACCATTTCATGCATTACAGAATAGCTAGAAAGCTTGTCCTCTGCTTAATAAATATTCTCAGCTGCTTGTCTGTATTTATCTATAAACTTGGCCCTCCAAATCTGTAGGTTCACATCCACCAGTTCAACCAACCTTGGGTTGAAAATATTTGGAAAAAATTGTGTTTCTTCTGAACATGTGTAGACTTTTTCCTCTGTCAGTATTCCCTAAACAATATAGTATGACAACTATTTACGTAGTGTTTACATTGTAAGTATTATAAGGTACTTAGCAATGACTTAAGGTCTATAAAAGTATGTGTAGAGGCTATATGCAAGTACCACCATTTTATATAAGGGACCTGAACATTCTTGGATTTTGATATTGCTTAGGGGTCTGGAACTAACATCCTCTCTGAAAAGAATAACTATATTTACCTCAGTCTGTTTTCAACCATTTTTTTCCTTCTTTTCACAAGAGGTCTTCCATCTCCCCTGTAAAACCAGTTCCTCCTTCTATGCTCCAAATGTATTTGTTCTAACCTTCACAGACTACAGTTTTATCTTTTCTTTGTTATCTACCTTAAAATTCTTATCTTTTGGCTCATTTCTGTTACTATTGTTATTAAAAATGCTCAGTCAACAGATGTATTGATCACATGGCTAATTGGGAAGGATGTGGTGTTAAACAAGATACACAGTGGAAGGCTATTCATGATTCTCACGTTCTTAAGCAGTATAAGCTCTCACCATGTCACAGCTGCTACCTTCTTTCTCTCTTCCTTTTTATAGCTGAACATCTTAGAATACTTGTCCTTACTCACTTTCCTGTCCCAACCTTTCACTTTCACTTACTCTCTAACCTACTGCAGCAGTGCTACTTTGTTCAGTACCTCTGAATCTCTCTAAGGCTACAACAACCTCTTTTCCTAAATCAGTCAGTCTGTCAATCCATCCATCCACACTCCCCTCCCACCCCCTGCCCATTTTTGGCTTTTTGAGACAGGGTCTCTGTACTCACTAAACCTCCTGCCTCTGCCTACCAAGTAAGTACTGGGATTACAGGCATATGCCACTGCCCAGTGTAAATCCAGTTCATAATTTTTAGTACTGGTATTATCTCAGTCTCTTAGAAGTATTTTAATCTCCTGGTGTTCTTGAAATATTTACTTTTGTCATGTAACTCAGTTGTACTGCTATCCCCTCCCCTTTCTTTTCCCTCTTTTGACAGGGTCTTGTCATGTAGTCCAGGCTAGGCTTGAATTTGTGATCCTCCTGCCTTTCTACTGCTGGGATTACAGGACTGCACCACCACACCTGGCAGTTCTACTTTTTTATGTGTTTTTTTTTTCTTTTTTTTTTTTTTTGCTTGTTTGAAACCTCTTTCATAATTTTCTTACTGATTTTCCTATCTTTCATTCACTTACTCAATAGGTAACAATTCATCTACTCAGTAATTTTTTAGCAAGTACACATTATTTCTTTGACACTGTTTGAAGTGCTGTAGATACAGTGGTGAATAAGAGACTAAAATATGTTTTTCTGCCTTCTTGGAGGTTACACTGTAAGAAGAAGGAGACAGATAATACACAAATAACAAAATATATAATATGTGCTGTGTTGAAACATAAGACAATGGGAAAGGGAAACAATGGAATTTAGGACTATTCGCAATTTTAGATAGGTTTACACACCATCTAAGGAGGTATAGGGCAAGTCATAACTATGAGGGAGAGAAGAGAAAGGCGTACAAGGCAGAGAGAATAGCAAATGTAAGACTGTTGAGGTTGAAATGTACTTGATACTGAACAAACACCAAGGAAGCATGTGATTAGAGTGGACAGATCAAGGGAGAGACAAGTCAGAGATGAGGTAATAGATGTACAGCAAGGAGCTCAGATTTTGTAGGGCTAAATAGGCCATTATAATGATGGGTTAATATAATACCTCCTTCTTGCACTGGACTATAAGCTCCTTGATGGAAAGAATTGGATGTACTGTGTCTATTACTCTATCACTTATAAACAGTGCCTAGTTTATAAGTGCCTAGTTTAGTGTTCACTAAATCTTTGTTGAATGAATGATAGTCTAGGAGACAAATGTCAAGCACATAACATTTTATACAAAATTACTACTCTTTAGTACGTACTTATTAAACACACACAAAGAAAACCAAAAACCAAGAGGAAAACCAAAATAGACAATAGAAGCCGATCTACATATGCTCTGAATATCAGAGTTGGCTGATAAGGACTGTGAAATAACTATGGTAAATATGTTAAAGTAATGAGAAAAATAAAGAGAAAATAGGTAAAGAATTTTGCATTAGAATTTGAGTAAAAAATCAAGCAGAAATTCTGTTACTGCAAAGATATGAAAATAAGGACTGTAAATATGTTTTATAATAGATTAAACTAGCAGGATAAAGGATGCTTTTATAGTATGCATCAGTATTTCATTCCTTTTTTGTGGCTGAGTAACTTCCATTGTATGAATATACTACTTTAAAAAAGTCCATGCATTAGTTAACGCGCCAGTTCGGTTATTTCCACCTTTTGAGCCTTCTGATTAGTGCTGTTATGAATATTCAAGTAGAAGTGTTTATTTGCATATCTGTTTTAACATTCTTTTAGGTATGTACCTAGGAGTGGAATTTCTGGGTCATATGATAGTGCTATGTGTAGCTTTTTGAGGGCCTTTTGTGTATCCCCTTCTTGTGTAATCCTTTCTTCTTTTGTTTGGGCAAAACCAGTGACTTGCTTCCCTAACTAACAGAATATGATGGAGGTAATGCATATTGTTCAGTTGGGTTATTTTATATGGCAAAGGTGATAGGAGGGCACCGTATTCAATTGTATTATGTGGCAAGATGATTGGGTGTCACTTCTGTGATTATGCTCCATTATGTAGGACTCCATCTTAGCAGACAGAGATTCTTAGCAGAGTGAGATTCTTGTTGATAGCTTGATGAACTGAGTGGCTGCATTGAGGAAGCCCACGTGGCAATTCCTGGCCAGCCTCCAGGAATCCCAGGTAGAATTACTACTTCTAAGGGTTAGAAGGAAAGCTGGAACCTCCCAGTCAAATAGCCACAAGAAGATAAATTTTGCCAGCCATCTTATGTCAAGTATTTGCCTTCACCAACTTTAGTTTTATTTAATATCTAATTAACTTGATCTTGGGAATTTGAGAGCAGATTAGAGTATGAAAACAGACATTAGGATCCCAGCTCATTTGGTTAGCCAAGATGCCACAGACTCTTGATTTCAAAGAGCTTAAAGTTCCCTTACCGAGACCCACAAGTATTCAGACAGTTTAATACATTTTAGTAATAACAAGTTCAGAGTGCATGGGCCCATAGAGGAGTCTCATTGGACCTACTTTTAGGGCATTATAGCAAATTTTCCAATGGAAATGATAGCTAAGTGACACCTGAGGTATAAGAAGTGGTGAGTTAGCTACAAACTGAGTGTGATGGGAGGCACAGCTCTGTTGTCAGTGAAAACATTGCAAATGCTGGGAGGTGAGAGGCCATGGGAACTGAGACAGATGCAGATGTGCAGTGTGAAGGGCCGTTAGAGCACCAGACGGAGCTAGAGAGGAAGCTAGGGTCCAGCCATGGATGGCCATGAATGCTGTGCAGCTGGTTTTGGAGGATATTCTTGTGGCTTTAGGAGCCTCCTAATAGTTCCATGCTGTAGGGTTAGCATGAAAGAATTGTGGAATTTGAAAGCTCATTCTTGTTTGCTATGTAGAAAATGGATTGGAAAAGACTTAAACTTGAGGTTGGTATTCAAATAAGGATCCTCTTCCTTTAGTTCAGGCAAGAAATGACAGTAAATAAAGTATTGGGCTGCAGCAAAGTAGATGGTGTTGAGGAAGTGGATAGAAGTTGAATCTGTAGGATTTTGGGATCTGTTTGAGGGAGAAATCACTGATGATTACAGTACTGCATTTGGTTCTGATACTTTTCAGTGAGCCAGGTTTTTATTTTTTTTGGAAATTCATTTAAGAGGGACTGGTAATACCCATTTGTACCACAAAGCAGAGTATGCTAATGTATTTGAATGAGTATTAAAAATTATGCAGTGTTGGTTTAAAGTAGTAATTGTTTTTGTCACCTAATTAACTAGGTACAAAAACTGTACTCTTGCTTTAGAAGAAAGAAAGCAAGCCATTGTGAAGGAAATCATTTAAAAAAGTAAAACAAAAATTGGAAACCAGTTCTGTCCTAAAATTTTATTTATTTTATTATTTTTTTTAAATTTTATTTATTTTATTTTTTTCATTTTTCTTTTATTATTCATATGTGCATACAAGGCTTGGTTCATTTCTCCCCCCTGCCCCCACCCCCTCCCTTACCACC